TCTTTCTCTCTGCTCACGGTCAGCTGCTGCGGAGAGCAGGAGCGCCGGCGAACCAGCTGATGTTCCACACACTCTGGATCTGATGTGAACAGATGGCTCTCTGGAAAATAGGAAATGTTTTTTGATAATGGAAGAAGGTTGTAATTCTGAGCTGAGTCCGTCTATTTGAGGTCCCTTAAGTACAGGCTGCTCCCCGCCTCATGTAACACACAGTTCTAGACGTGCGTTTCATTTTCTCAAACAACTGGTGTGCGTGTGTGTGTGTGTGTGTGTGTGTGTGTGTTCTTTTTTCCTTTTTCTTCTTCTTCTTCTTCTTCCTCCTCATCTCTTTTTTTAAGTCAGCCATAGATCTAGTCCTGTCGACTAAATTACTAAGACTGCTTATGTGAGCTGACATTTACACGGTGTTGGTTTTTGTAATTACATACAATCATTCGGGTTAGAGTGTCCTGCAGACAGTCAAAAAAGCACATAAGCCAATTATTTCAGATGTGCTGCCAAATGGAAATTGGTTGCTATTGTGCGTTTGTGTTTGTGTTTGCTTTTTACTGTCAGTCATTTTGATGAAATCTTCAGTCTACAACTTTGACACTTTCTGGATTTTTGTTTTTTTTTTCCAGAGGAATAATACAATATTTACCATCTGCAATCGAATTTTTCCAGTTTTGCTAAACTTATTATTGGGTGATAAATGCTTCTCTACTTTGCTTAGGTGTTGCATTTGATCTCGATCTTGTTTTTTTTTTGTTTTTTTTTTAATACCTCAGAAATGTTTCAGCACAACCAGACATGCTTAAAGTGCCAGCGGCTTTGAAAGACTGTAAACATTGCAGGTTGCAGAGTTTATAAGTGCCTGACTTCATTCTTTTCGTGGTAGTCAGCATCTGGTCGATAGTGTTCCTTGAAGCAGCATTCATTGCCAATAAATCTCTTCACATTTTACAAACTGTTCCTGCTAAAAGGGATTTGAACCTGGGACCGTCTTGCTGCGTTGGAACATTCCTATCAATCGCGTCACTCTGCATCCAACATTATAATGTATTTATAGAGTTGGATAGCAAGTTACATTTACATTTTTTTTTTGGGCGGGGGGTTGCTTTTTGGAGTATTTTTTGCTACGTTGCTCTTTTTACTTTTACTTGAGTAATTTTATTTTGAAGTTTGGCGGCCCTTACTTTAGTAAAACCTTTGGATGCTCATTGTGCTGTTAGTAACCTGCTGAATGAAAATGAAGAAGAAGCTAGTTCTAACCAACAATTCGCCAGACACACACACACACACACACACACACACATACACATACACATACACACACACACACACGCATGCCTGCGGTTTTTGTTAAAGCTTCATACGTTTTATATTGAAAGAAACTGGTTTGGGGAAACAAATCATTCATTTTGATCCTTTTGATTAATACACAAAAATTTCCACATAACTTTATGTTTTGGCCCTGCTGATGATATCATTTTTAAATATTAGATGATTGATGTTTTGATCAGTTATTCAGTACTTGAGGCACCTGTTTATGAAATACTTATTTACCATTGAGTAATTTCTTGGATAGCTATATTTTTTTTACTTTTACTTGACTTGAATTAGTGCTACTCTTACTTGTATTTTCGGGTTCCTCTACCGTCCTCTATTTATTTGTTTATCTGTTTCTGTGGGAGATATAACAACCTTTTTTCAGATTTCATTACTTTCCTCTTGAGTGGTCAATCTGTGGAAAAAAACCCTTTTCCCTCACATGAGTTGATTGGTAAACGATGGCACAGGTGGGCAGGAGATCAGTGTCCTCTCTTTGAAATAACCTCAAAAGATCAAAGGTGAGACGGCCCCAAAAGTTACAATCGCGACACGGCAGGTGTGGGACTTCCTGTAAGATTTCCAGCCGGGTGTCAAAGGTGAGCAAGATAGAAAGCCATAGAAGGTCAGAGGGCGTTCATGTCTGTCTTCTGTATGCAGTTTGTTTAAGAATCGGTGACTCTGAGAGCGGTGATCACACCAGACTGTTGGTAAACAACGGTCCCTTTAACACAAGGCTGCCACAGAGCTCCTTCAGGGAAAAATAACCTGGCGGGTCAGAGGATTTATGAAATCTTTTCTCTGAGCATTCCTGTCCACGGCGTAAACTTCAGAGCGACATAAGTGATTGCTTTGTGTATAAGAAAATAGACATTTTTCCTTCACACATTTAAAAATGCCATAACCTCAGATACCAATCCTTGTGTTCCAACAAAGAATGGATCAGAATGAGCTTTTTCACTTTAAAGAAAGAAATGGCTTCCAATCAATCTGTACCATTCTGTTACAATCTGGAGAAATGTTAACAATGTGTGTAATGTCAACCTGTTAGGATTGTCAGGAGTCCAGTAAAACAGACAAGTGCATGCCTCTGCTGATTGTGTTTATGTATCAGAATTCCTTATCGCAGCGGTAATCACACGCCGCATACCACGGCTTAACACACCACTTTTTATGTTTTATGTTTTTATTACGTATAAAAGCTAAACTGTATGTCTCACACACATATTTTTTTCAAAAGAAAAATTGTTTTGTTTTGAGAAAAGTTTTGGCTTTTCCACAGACTTCTACTGTTTTTGCTTTCTCGCTGCACAAAAGTGTCTCAAATAATTTAGCACATTTTAAAATCAGACAGAGATAGTAAATGTAATGTAGAATATTTTCCAAAAAGTCTTGAGGTTCATCAAAATTTGTACTTTTCTAATCCAACTGTGACGTAGGTGGTTTTGGCCTTGAAACTCTCCCGTTAATCCCACTTTTTTTTCCCCCAGTCTCTTTGTTCTTTATTGTCAGTCATGAATTGTTCTCTCAATCTGTGAATAATAGTTTTCACTGTATTTCGCTAGAGTCCTGAAGACTTAGAAACGCCTTTGCAGCCTTTTCCAGGCTGTTCCTGAATTTCTTTAGTGCATTTCTGTGATGCCTTTTAAGGTCTGCTTCATGTTGTCAAACAGGTTCTACTTAAGAAATCTCTTGATTCTACAGGCGGTAATCAGACCTGGTTGTGGTTAAATGAAACTGAACTCTTTGTTTTTCTTTAAAAAAAAAAAAAAAAAGCAAAGGTTAATGAGGGAGTTTCCAACTCCAGCTTCTCAGTTGGTTAATGTTAAACAATTTTGGGAGGAACATTCAACCTTGACGATCAATCACGTTTGGATTCTTGACAGAGTAAAAAAAAAAAAAATCTAATGCTTTGCTTTTAATTTACTATGGTACAGATTTTTGTAAATTGAGAACATGGGGTGACTAAATCTCTTAGGGATAATCAGAAGCATGCCAAAGTGTAGAAAACTGTCTGCGCTACACGTCAAACATTGAAGCAACACATAATTTTGATGGAACACAATACATGTGCTGAACCACTATTACACCTACGTTCCTGTAACTTGTTGAGTTAATCTGACCGGCTGTTCGTCTTACTTGCCCTGAAGTACATGCCAGAGAATAAACATCCTGTCCTGTAAGACTGTTTGGCCAGTGATTTCTCTCCCTCCATGCAAAGTAAGTAAGTTTAACTCTTGCTTTGATAAAAACACAACATTCTTTTTGTGCCTCGATTTACTTTTTGTGGTCGGGGATTTTGAATTGGTATACATAAGACTTTTCAAACTTTAAATGAAAATAAAATAAAAAAGAGTATGTCCGGAATTCACTTTTGAACTGAAGGAAATATTTGTGGTTCTATGTTTCTTCCTTTTAAAAAAAAACATCTGTCCAGCATCCTTATGTTTCCAGCCACTTTCAGAATTTAGTGTCATACCCTATCATCCTCTTCTTAAAAATAACGGCTTAAGTCTTTTTTTTTTGCCAAAAAGTGATTTTTTTCTCTCTCTCTTTTTGTCTTTTTTGAGTTGCATAAATCACAGAGGTGATGACTTTTAGTGCAAAAACTACTTTTGGCAAAAAAATGACTTGGGCCATTATTTTAGGAAGGTGACGATATTCATTCAGCATGGCATGACTTCAAACCTATAAACACGTAGAGCTAAAAGTAGCAGAGATCCATAGCAGAGGAGGAAATTTTTGTTGACAGAACTACTTCTCATAAAAATCCACAAATCCATGGACGATTCTAGAAATGGGGGCGACTGGGCCTTGAAAGAGCATTTCAAGTGGCTCCTTACAGCTGGAGTACGCAACTTTTATTTTTAATTTAAAAAATGTTTTTGACATATTTGTTAAAATTGTCACCAAGTCGTCACAGTATAATATGAGACAGATAATCTGTGAATAGATCGATCTCCTCCACCTTTCCTGACAAAACAACCAATCAGAGCCGGGGGGAGGGCCTTAGAGCTGTCTATCAACTGCCTGTGCACTAATGGCGGTTTACCTTTCCAGCAAAACCATTTAAATGTCATCATTGGCTTAGCATTCAAAGCTAAGACCCGCCTCCTGGCTCTGATTGGTTGTTTGTAGTAAGCAGAAGGAGAAGGCAGAGGAGCTTGATTTTTTTTTTTTTAATCAAAGATTAACTGAGTCATCTGCGACAGACTGGCGACCTGTCCAGGATGTACCCCGCCTCTCGCCCGGAACGTTAGCTGGAGATAGGCACCAGCACCCCTCCCGGCCCCACTGAGGGACAAGGGTGTTCAGAAAATGGATGGATGGATGGATAACTGAGTCATACTATACTGTCACAACATAGTGACACCTTCAACAAATATGCATAATATTTGTTGAAGCTTCAATATATTAAATAAGGAAATATTGGCTGTTTTTTTTTTCCGATCCTTTCTTCTGTGCTTCCATGAAAAACACTGAACCCACCCTGGCCCCCTCGATAAATCTGGTCTAGAACCACCGCTGATTTTTCCCATGAACTTTTTGAGAAACTCCAAAGAGGTATAAATACTTTTACACCACCACTGGAATAGATTTGAGTTAGGCCACTGGCCCTGTTTGGTTCCAGCCTCTGTCTTGGGTGATTGACACACGTCCTCCGCATCTTGTCATAATGTTTGTCCTTACAGGAAATGGCTTTCTCCCTGGAGGAGCGTCTCCAGCTGGGGATCCACGGCTTGGTGCCGCCCTGCTTCATCAGCCAGGATGTCCAGGTGCTCAGAGTCCTCAAAAATTACGACATGAAAAGGGACGACCTGGACAGGTGAGACGCTTCCACACAAAACCAGCCAGGATGTTGCGGTGCGTTCCAACAGACTTCGTATGTTATCCTGTGTAAGAGTTAAATCTCATCTGATCCTCTGTTTGTGTAACCAGATCCTTTGTGCAGAGCCTTTCAAAACACAGAAGGCAGATTAGCTATCTGTCCTCTGAGATCATCCGTCTTCTCATACCATAAATTTTACTTCATGCTCCCTGATCTCCTTTTCCTGGAGATCCTTTATCCATTGAGACGTGTCAAAGGTTGAATTCTTAGTATGTTTCACACAAAATCGTTGGTGACAGTTTCTCAGAAAATTCACACCCAATGCAGACTTGACTAAAGTTTCAAGGTTTGTGAAAAAGCATATACTTTTAAAGGGGGAATATTATGTAAAATCAACTTTTTTGAGACTTACATCATGTTATAATGTTATTCCCTCATCAAAAACATACCTGGAGTGTTGCCAAGATTCTTTCATGCATGTTTGAAAAATCCTTTAATCTCTTGTGGCAACCATTCAGCTGTGCAAAACACTTGGGTAGACCTAGCTCCTCCTTCGAGATGCAGTTTCAGCTTCAGTGTCATCTCCTTCACACTAGCCAGCAGCCATTAGCAAACACCTGGTAGATCTGCGCATCTGCTGAGCTCATTATACGAGCTAAGTCTCAGTGCAACATTAGATTTTGTTAATAGAGGAGCAATGTTGTGATGACTTCTTGGAGGCGGAGTTTCAGAAAGAACAGGAGCTTTTTAAAGAGACAGAGGCCCAGTTTCAAAGTGTTAAATTACAAAATCAATTTTCCTTTAAATAATATTTGACATGCATAGTATTTTCATAACAACTGAAGGTAAGATAGTTACTTGATTATGCTATAAAATACATAATGTTGCCCCTTTAAACCTCAGTTGGTTGTTGTCCATCCATCACAGCCTTTGGTTTCCCTCAGCAGACTTTGGATTTTTGCAAATAGCAGTTTGATCTTGTTATTCCATGCAACAGAAATCTTTCATCAGTTTGCTGTTTAGTTGACAGACATAAAGCAGATGGTAAGGAAATAAGATGCAAGGACACGTTTTTTTTATTTTCTAATATTAATTTTATCTACCTTTTTAATTAACCTTTTTAAATATATATTTATGCAGCAGATCTCCAAAGAGCAGCTGGTGGACCCTAACCTAAAACAGACAAAGCCTGCAGGGTGCTCCTCCTCTCAGCAACAGGCACCTTGTGTTCATGGCTTTATGGAAACCTCCCTGATTAGGAACTGAGTCCTTTCTGGCAAATGGCGCTTAATTTAGGTCACACACACATGCCTTCATTTCCCACTCGGTCTATAGAACAAAGAGCTTGTGTCACATGTCTGTAGGTCCACTTTCATCTTGTATGTTTTTTCAGTCATTTGGAAGTAAAACAAAAATGGCTTTAAAAATAATTGTTCTGCAGAAATCAGGATTGAGTGCAGTTCACTCGTGCAGCGCTTTTAGCTGTATGGTATATTGATTGCACCCATATGGACGTCTGAGTGTATGAAAGAGGGAAGAAAAAGTTATTTGGTTTAGCAAATATCATCACTGAGATGCAGAGAGCATGAAGGTTTGACAGATTCTCTTCATCCTCTGACTCTTGCAGGTACGTGTTCCTGATCGGGCTCATGGACCGGAACGAGAAGCTCTTCTACAGAGTCATAACATCGGACGTGGAGAGATTCATGCCCATCATTTACACTCCCACTGTGGGCCTGGCCTGCCAGCAGTACGGCCTCATCTTTAGAAGACCAAGGTAGATCACATTCCTGACGATAGCTTTACTCTTCAGCTGTTTGATGGTCCATTAGGATAGGTCTGGATTTGGTTTTCTTAAAGTGTTTTGGTTCGATTTCACCTTCCTTTCCTCAGTTTGTCTTCTCTGCTCCTCTGTCACATGTTCTGTGTGTATGCGAGAAGATCTTGTAACATCAAAATGCCAGTACATTCTTTATCTGCATGAAGTATGTCTTGCAAAGTACCATCCACTTGCTGTAAGCATGCGTCTTTCGAAAAACCACAAAATATCACTATGCTACCTTGTCGTATCTCTGGTTTAGGCTTTTATTTTTAAGTAAGGCAGGAAGTTGTTTATGTGTTGACTGATTTTAAATTATTTGCAAAGTAGCATTTTGGGTAGAAAAAGGAAACGGTCAACGAAGACACAAATGTAAACTGTCTTTGTTTCCTCCCAATTGTCTTGAGAATTTTGAGCGAACTTTTAGAATATTCCAAAAGAGAAAATGCGAATTAGCCGTGTGTCCAGCTACTGGTTTGGAGCAAGTTAACCAGGTTACTTAAAGTGTAATTTCGTCAAGTGTTGGCGTTAAGTACGGCTGTCATAGACAAAGATGTAGAGTTGCAAACTAGCGTGGAGCAAATACCTCCCAGCCAAGCTGGTCTTAGATTTTTTTTTCAGAGTTCTGTGCTTATGGTGAAGAATTTGTTTTAAATTTTGGCATTTCCATTGACCTTCCTTAATGCGATACTTCAAAATGCGTATTTAAAAAATAAACGATGGAAACATAGCCGCTGTGACTACGCTGAGGATGTGGTGACTTTTTAACAATTAGCTGCTTAAACCACAAAGGCTAGCATCTGCTGTGGAGCTAAGGTGCTAAATGAAGGGTTAGTTCACTGTTTCCCACTGAGTCTGAACTTTTACTTCTGTGATATTCAAAACTGAAAATCCAAAGATTGATCAGACCTCAACTGGACGATTCCTCATTGTTGGGTTTTCATCTTGTTTCGTTCTTGTGAATCCAAACGTCTGTGGCCTGCTGTCCAGTCTAACTACCTGGTGCTTAAGACCTCCCACGTTTTCATGTTTTGTAGACATTTGCTGTCAAATCTTCATCAATATTGGAGTTGCATCTCTTCCCTGACGTTCTATTTGATTTTTAGTCCAGTGTATTTACCTCCATTTGGTGTGTAGTTTAAACCTGGTAACATCAGATGCATGCCTTGATAATTATTCCCTCAGTGTCTTTGAAAGCATCTCAAAAGGAAGGACATGTTGTTATTTTCTCCCATTGTTTAGTTCATGGGAGCGTGGCCCCACCCTGTTTTTATTAATTGCTGTACAGTACTCCTTGTTCTTTTTTGCCATTACACTTGCGTCGCTGCATGTGTGGCAAAATCACTCCACTGGTCATGCCAGCCTCTGTACAAACGCAGCACATGGAGTTCAGTGGAAGGAATTGACTTATCATGCAGGAGCTGCTGCCAGCTTTTTTTCCTTTCTGAGATGAGAACCTGTTTTTTCTTTTTTCTTGTTCGTAAAACAAAGGACAGTGGAAAACATGATAAATCTTTACCACATGAGTTCAAACTCCCACTTGGGAGGTTAGAAAATCACCCAGTGGTAGGCCACACAAATTTGATAGCACATCATGAACACTTTGATTAGTGAAACAAGCAAATGGCGGCAAATGTCATTTTTGACATTGTGTAAAAATGCATAAACACACTGGCTAAGACGTTTCTGATTGCGCATATCAATTAAAACAATAGTTTTCACTAAAATACACACACGTGTCAAAACCTTTTTTAAAAAAAATTGCGTTTCCCTGTAAGGTCATCTGGTTTATGTCTTTCCCTGACAGCAACTCCTCCAAAACTCCCGGCAACAGCAACAGTTGATAGCCACGCCCCCCATTACCCCTGCCAGTGGTGCATTCAGGGCTACAATCTGTTTTACTTGGATCTGCTCCCTGCTGTTAACCAGATTCATGAGGTTTCGAGTGTTTTTACTCTAATTAGCCTCAAATGAGGAAGACCACCCCAGTTAATTGTGTTTTGAACCCTCATAGTCTCGCTTACGGCACACTTACTGCTGTTTTAAACAATTAAAAGGATGAATATTCTGGGAATACAGTCCAGCTAACCTTTTAAAGATATTCATGGAATCCAGAAGAATATCTGGATTCCAAGATACTGGAATATTCGCCAAAATCAAAGATCTTGACAATCCTTTGAAACATGGCATGCTTAGGAATATAGCAAGGCTCCAAGTAGCCGTAGACGTTTGAGGATGTTCCCCCAACTGGCCATCTGCTCTGCAGCAATGCTGCTTTGTTTGGTGGTTCATGCATACATTCATGCTGTCTATTCTTGTGCTTATGATTAGTTGTGGAATGACGGGTTTTCCTAATGATGCCCAAATAGTTTTATTAGAAATGCCTTGGCAAACCAAATTCTCCCATGCGCACAGCACTGTTACCCAACATCTCCCTGTTTCTCCATCCACACTGAACTTACTGGAAACTATTTCCATCCTGCTTTCCCTCTTCTCATACTCAGTTAGCTGGAAGAGTCAGCTTTTACACTCCGCCTCAGTGGTTGTGCATGTGAGCAGGTACTTCTGCCAGATCCAACAGCTTCTATAGGAAATATGTTTTTTTTGTTGTTGGGCAAAGGTCTGTTAACCAGAATCCAGCTGGGATGTTTCTGACAAGCCCAAACAGATTTCAGTCAAGTCATTTCTCTTCCGTGGTATTATGTAAAAGTGACTTTTTTTTAAGCTTTACGTCATGTCATAATGTTATTCCCTCATCAAAAACATACCTGCAGTTTTGCTTTGATTCATTCATGCATGTTTGAGAAATCCTTGAATGTCCCGTGGCAACCATTCGGGGTGCCTAAACGTTTGTTCTCACAAAATGCCATTTATTTCCTGCAAGCTGAGCTTCCTCCTCACAGAGCAGCCCTCCCCTGCACCTCCTCTACTCGGCTCCTCTAGACTAGCAGCAGCAGCTATTAACAAACACCTGATGGAGCTGCACCTGTTCTGAGCTCATCATGCAAACTACTTTTCACTCCAACTCATTATACTGTTTACAACTAAACAGTATAATGAGTTGTAAACAGTATAATGGAAAAATTATGATGTGCTGAAGGAGAAAAAGCAGGAGCTTCTTAAAGACACAGAGTCCAGTTTCAAGGGGTCAAAATTATTTTAAGATATTTACATATATAACATTTTTGTAACAACTGAGGTAACATAGTTAATTTTGCTATAACATGACACGAGAAACGTATATCCAATGATGTAACACAAAAGAATTTATAAAAAAAAAAACAAATAATATGATATAGCAATAAAAACTGACATTTATTGTACTATTTTCACAAAATCTCACAACAAAAGATGCAACACAATGCTTGGAGGAATGCGTGGGGAAATCAAATTCACATGCTTAATGTGAGTAAAATATTCCAGTTTTCTATATTTTATCCATCTTAAATAAAATTAAGTTGAACTGAATTTATTCCGAGGCGTTCTGTTAAACCTAAACAAATATCAGAACACACATAGTTTGTTTCGCTGTTCTCATTCACAGCCAGTTTTTATTTATTGATCCCAGTTTTTTTGTAAAGCAACTACCACTCAAACCGTTTCTCTCTAATCAGAATCGGCATCTTTGGATGCAGGTTACCGATGGCAACTGCTTTTGTTTTACAAGCTCGCCGAGCCACCTGCCGCTCTGAGCAGCAGACCAAACAAACAGTTTGAGTTTGGGAAAGTACGCAGGCCGTGGCCCATTATCCGAAAATCCACAACTTTTTATTTTTTTAATCTATACATATTTCCTTGAAACAAAATAAGCACAAAATGACCTCCTCCCAGAAAAATACTAGTAAACTGGAGAGAAACAAAGCAGACTGAGGAAAAGGACAATATCAAGGATGACTCGGGTGAAGAATATCTCTGTTTCCTTCCTAACCCTGATGGATCATAGATTATTCCATGGGTGGGAGTTGCGCTCCTCCTTATTGGGAAAGCATTGCTGTCGACTTGAATTAATCAAATCTTCTCCCAGCATGCCTCACTGTCCGTCTTTTCTCCACTGATTGCCATCATCTGCAAGTGTCTGAGCAGCTGTCTTTGCAAATATCCTTGATAAAAGCACATCTGCGTGGAAATTTCTCCGATATTAACTTAAAACAGAGGAATCGGCAACATTTAAAACTCATTTTAAATGTTAACTCATTAAAACTCATTAATAATTCCAATCTGATAACAATATCTTGAACCTGTATTTTCGACAACATGGCTGCAGTTAACCGAATAGACCGTTAAAATAAGATGCAAATGGCAACTAAAACCAGGAACTGTGTTGAAATGTTGCTGTAAAATTGCTAAGTCCTTGTTTTCAGTGAATTCTTTCACTCACTCTGTGTGACGTTGCCTTTGCATCTTCTCTAGAAATGGTTAACAATTGGTCACAGGAAGAAGGCTTGAACGCTGCTCTCATCATTTTATGTTATAGTTCTCAAAAAAGTATATCAGGCGACATATTCAGATCAGAGCATCCCTAGTTTATTCGTGATATGATCAAAATAGATATAACAAAATAGTGGAAATAGATTTACAATAAAATTAGACAATGTTGTCATATTATTAGCAGAATAACATTGTTTATTTGCATAACTGTTTTAAAGTCCTGCTGCTGATAATAATATATTTTATACTGATGTGTTAAAAGATTATAAGGAATTATTTGTTTACAAAAAAACACCATAACAGGAAAACAGCTCAGTTTCTATTTGACTTTTTACTCACAGGCGTCACCATAGAAATCCTCTTAATGGATTACAGAAGTCACCATATGTTCAACTAAGTTTCTGTGTGTGTGTGTGTGTGTGTGTGTGTCTCCGGACCACCATGGTAGCAGATTAGCCCTCTAATCACAGCCTCTCAGGTATAAAGACTTTCTGTGTAGAAGCAGCGGTCCTTCCTTGTCCTGCCTGACT